GGTTCACAGGTACAAGGTAGCAGGGGCAGCGAGAGGGATTCGGTCTTTGGAATCCGCTGTCGGTAACAGCCGTCGAGGTGCCCGTCATAAGTGGACCACTCACTCGAGCTCTGGAAAGACATCCATACCTTGCCTGTGAGCTGTCAGGTAGGTAGATATTACCAAAAGGAGCAAAAAAAGACATGTTTACACCGACGGTGTTTTTTTTATTATCTAAAAATATGAATCTCGTCATCTAGACGGGACCGGGTTTGGGACCTGTGTGGAATTCCAACCTGTTTCAGCATTGAATGTTGGAGGGACTGCAGAACACGTGAATGTGGTAGGGGGGGCAGTGACACTAGGGAGTCTAGACAATCAACGTCATTTCTTCAAACCGGCGAGGGATGCCCACCGGCTTGTGCCATGCTGGTCCCTTTAAGCAACATCCCCACCTCCTCCACCTCGTCAACTCGACCTACCCACTTTCCGCTCTCTTTCCCCATTGACCTGAACCTGACTGAGCCTGAATTGGGTCTGGACCCTGAGATGTATTCTTATCCCTTTGTATTCTCATTTTCATTTCGTGCATGACATTCTGTGGACAGCTTTCTCTTGATCATTTTAACCCAAAAAAACAAAACCAAAGGCGCCAACTGTGGTGCAACTGGTGTTCGGTTCTCCTCCGCCTGCCCTTAGCTCGAACCAAACACAATAAAAAAGGACACTTTTCAGCCATGTCGGACGCGGGAGAGAGGTGAGCATGAGGGCCGCAGCAATAACTGGAAAACTCATTCATCCCGCTAACGCACAGTCTATCTAACTCTTAGTTCCCATCGGCGAACCAAGTCCTCGGCCCTATCCCTCCTCAGGCGTAAAACCGCTGCCGATGACGATGCCGTCTCTGTAGAAGAGAGCAGCAATACCAATCTCCCTGCCACCTCGATGAACCCTACCTCGCAGGCCTCCCTTACAACCGCTAATCGGCACTCGAGGGCTCACAGCACCAAGCTGTCTATCTCCGGTAGCACCATGGGCCGAACACCCTCAAATCATGCTCCGTCAGTCAGTGGACCGAGAACCCCTAATACACTGGACAGAGGAAGTGCTTCACTGGAGTCGTCGGTCAGAAAGTTCCGCATCGTCGAAGCTCTCCGCAATGGTGACACTGCCTCCATTTCCAAGGCCATCCGCGAAAGCGCCGAGGGTGGTCCTCGAATGAGCACCTCATCCTTTACCACGCAAACCGGCCCCCTCGATGACACGACGATACTTCATTTGGCTATACAGTGTGCCGAGCAGCCCGTCGTCGAATACGTCTTGTCTGATGGCGCCGCTTCTCTCGACATCAATGCCCGCGACAAGGAGGGCAATACTCCCTTGCATGTCGCCGCAGCTCAGGGGCGAAGCCACGTTGTCAAGCTCCTGCTCGAAAACAAGGAGATCAACGACGCCATTGCTAACAACCAGGGCCGCCTTCCCATAGATCTAGCTCGCAATCCCGAAATATTCCAGCAGCTACAACTCTCGAGGTCCATATTCGCCGAGAGCAAGATTCGACAGGTTCAGGATCTCATCCTCCACGGCGATTTCAAGACCTTGGAGCAGGTCTTGGAGGAGCCGCGCTTTAAAACTGTGTTGGACATCAATAGTACCGAGTTCGCATCCGATCAGATCACTGTGGAATCCGGTGGTACACTTCTTCACGAAGCCGCGCGCAAGAAGAATGCTCGTCTGATCCAAGTTCTCCTGCTTCACGGTGCAGACCCCTTCCGTCGTGATCGCAAGGGCAAGCTTCCTCAGGATGTGACCAAGGATGAAATAACACGCGCAATGCTCAAGAAGTCGCCAGCTGCCGTGGCGGCTCAACGCGGTATCCAAGAAAAGGCTGTCCTGGGTTCTGCTGCCGGAGTCTCTGCTGCGGCGCCTGGTGATCCACTCGCTGGACGAGAAGCCCGCGAGATGAAGGGCTACTTGAAGAAGTGGACCAACTACAGAAAGGGATATCAGCTTCGCTGGTTTGTTCTGGAAGATGGCGTTCTGAGCTACTACAAACATCAAGACGATGCTGGCTCGGCCTGCCGCGGCGCTATTAATATGCGCATTGCCAAACTTCACATGAGCGCCGATGAAAAGACCAAGTTTGAGATTATTGGAAAGTCGTCCGTCAAGTACACGCTTAAAGCTAATCATGAGGTCGAAGCAAAGCGTTGGTTCTGGGCGCTCAACAACTCAATTCAGTGGACCAAGGACCAGGCCAAGGAGGAGGAAAGGCAAAAGGTTCGCAATGCAGAGCTGTTGAAGCAGGCCAGGGCTGAACACGGCGGCTCCGAGACGCACGGTGATGATGCAAGCTTTGGGGAGCCTTCGCGCAACAGCATTCAACTTTCTAGGATGCATTCCTCGGTCAAGTCCAACAAGGGCGGCCACGGTAGCAACGACGAAGACGAGTTTGCCGATGCGGCCACTGAAGCTGGCAAGACTGACCACAATGGCCATGATATTGACGATGACGACAATGATTACGGCGAGGGCTCAAGTGGGCAGGATGCTCCACCGGCGAACAAAGATGCTTTTAGCATTACTGCTCAATCAGCCAAGCTCCAACTTGATACCATGGCGCAGGTCACGGCTGCACTGCTCTCGGAGTCGTCGAGAAATCCCTCGCTCACGCTTGCAGACCCCAAGACATCTCAAGCCCTAACCACCTATGATGCCGCCATTCGCTCTCTCACCGGGCTTGTTGGAGATTTGCTGCGCATCTCCAAGGACCGTGACGCATACTGGCAGTACCGCCTCGATCGTGAAAGCGAGATGCGTCGCATGTGGGAGGAGAGCATGGCTCAAGTAGCCAAGGAACAAGAGGCTCTCGAGGCCCGGGTGGGTGAGGCTGAGACCAAGCGCAAGATCACCAAGCGCATTCTCAAAGACGCAATCGAGAACGGCATACTTGATGACAGCCAAATACTCACCTCGCCCACTGGTGGGAAGACGCCCGTGGCCCCTGGTACTTCTCAAACTGGGGGTGACGAAGCCGTTGCGACCCCGACTGCAGAAGCATCGGGTCTCAAGCCACCTGTTGTTGGCGATCTTGTGCGCCGCCAGACTGTCATGACCCAAATCGCCGACATCTCCGATTCGGAGTCTGATGAGGAGGAATTCTTTGATGCAGTCGACGCTGGCCAGGTTGAGGTGACCAAGCTTCCACCATCAGATGTTGCTACCGCAGACAACGAGGAGAAACAAATTGTTGTCTCGAACGACCACGACATCAGCGACGCCTTCAAGGGATATGAAAATGGCATCCGCACACGGCTGAAGTTGGATGCCGACAACCGTCCCAAGATTTCACTCTGGGTAAGTTCATCAAGGCACTGCGGGATGAAGGTTGCCTGTTTTCTAACATTTTGCAGGGCATCCTGAAATCTATGATCGGAAAGGACATGACCAAGATGACGCTTCCCGTTACCTTTAATGAGCCCACGTCTCTTCTTTACCGCTGCGGTGAAGACATGGAGTACGCGGACCTCTTGGATCTTGCTGCCGACCGGTCTGATTCCATTGAGCGTTTGATGTATGTTGCGGCATTCGCTGCTAGTGAGTACGCATCTACCATCGGACGCGTTGCGAAGCCTTTCAACCCCCTGCTTGGTGAAACATTTGAATATGTGCGACCAGACAAAAACTACCGCTTCTTTATTGAGCAGGTCAGCCATCATCCACCCATCGGTGCCGCATGGGCCGAGTCGCCCAAGTGGACATACTACGGCGAGTCTTCAGTCCGATCCAAGTTTTACGGCAAATCTTTTGATGTTAATCCCTTGGGTACCTGGTTCTTGAAGCTCCGTCCTACCCACGGCGGCAAGGAAGATTATTATACCTGGAAAAAGGTTACCTCGTCGGTTATTGGTATTATCACTGGTAACCCTGTTGTTGACAATTATGGACCCATGGAGATCAAGAATTGGACCACCGGCGAGGTTTGTCAGATTGAGTTTAAGCCCCGTGGGTGGAAGGCGTCGAGCCATTACCTCATTTCAGGCAAGATTATTGATGCCAGCGGTCATGTTCGTGTCAGCTTGGGTGGAAAATGGAACTCGAGAATCTTTGCCCGTCTCACACCCGGTTACGAAGCTACGGTAGAGGAGCCATCTAATGCTCCTGATAACGGATCAATCTACCGCGGCAGCCTTGCGAGCTCGGATCCCAACAAGGCCTTCCTTATCTGGCAGGCCAATCCTAGACCTGAGGGTATCCCATTCAACCTCACGCCGTTTGTGGTTACTTTTAACCATATTGATGACAACTTGAAGCAATGGATCGCACCGACTGATTCGAGACTGAGGCCTGATCAGAGGGCTATGGAGGAAGGGGAGTACGATTTTGCTGCTACGGAAAAGACTAGATTGGAGGAAGCCCAGAGAGGGAGGAGGAGGGAGCGGGAGGCCAAGGGTGAAGAGTTTAATCCTGCTTGGTTTTCCAAGGCCAAGTGTGAGATTACGGGAGAGGAATACTGGAAATTCAATGGGGAGTATTGGGAGAGGAGGAGGAAGGCTGGCGGGCCGGATGGAGATAAGAGTGCTTGGGGGGCGTTGGAGCCGATTTACTAGGGGGTTGGAGGAAACACGCGATTTCAGAGCAGTGGTTTGGGGGAAAAAGTGAAGTGCAATAGTCGAATGATGCAGGTTTATGTTGGTATAGCGAGCGGCCTTGGGTGGTTTTTGTTGTTGTTTTGGATTGAATGAATTGATTGGTAGTTTTGCCGTATTGTGGTGTTAGGACGAGTGGTTCATGAGTTTAATCTCCCTAAAATGGTTTATTGGCAAGGGGGAAAAGAAAAGAACAGTTGGGATAGAAGTAATATCAAAGTCTTGCTCTGTGTGGTTCAGCTGCTGGTGTGGTTTCCCTTTAACCGAGATGTGTCCTGCTCCAGTACGTTATGACTGTGGAAATCCCAAGGTGGTTCCGGTTAAATGCGAAGCATAACCATGCAAAAAAGAGAGAGAGCAAGAGAATGCAAACTCCTCCGGGAAGGCTCGAACTTCCAACCTCCTGATTGATTCTGTTGTCAGAATAACAGTCAGACGCGCTAGCCAATTGCGCCACAGAGGATTGATGTCAATCTGGTTCTTCGGTTATTGCATGGAAAGGTTATGATAATATTTATATGAATGTAAGATGGTTATGTTTCGTTGTTGATGGTGTAGTCGGAGTTCTTTTCAATTGCAAACATGTAAGTGCATCTAGTAGAGATGAAAAGTGCTATTTACATTCTTTTTCGCATCATAACCGTGATGGGGTGAAGCGTTGTTGATTGCCTCTGCGATGCGATGCGCTTTGTCAGCAGAATTCTTTCCTCTGTTTTCCTTTTATAAATAGCGGTAACAATTTGCCATTCACAGCAAGTGGTGCTCTCAATATATCCTCTGTGGCGCAATTGGCTAGCGCGTCTGACTGTTATTCAAACTGAATTGCAATCAGGAGGTTGGAAGTTCGAGCCTTCCCGGAGGAGTTTTTTTGCTGTTTTTTTTTCACTCAGATTTAGCCGAATGAGATCACTCGCCCACTCAGGCACTCACCCACTTTCAGACAGCCAAGTCCGGTAATGGGCAAAAAGGTGGAGTCGCGATTCGTCATGGATCGCAACGATCGATTCTTTTGCCGAGCGAAAGTTGAGAAATAAACCCCCGATCCGGGAATTTCTTGGCTCACAATCGAAATCGCAACAACGGCTGGAAAACCGACGACAACGATGAAGATCTTGTTTTATGGTCTTGGGCGAAGGGATCGACAGGGGAAGGGGGGAAATTTGTTTTGGGAGAGGAAATAAATCATGTATAAGAAGGACAGGAGGTGCCCTTTAAATGTCTTGATTCTATTCTTCTTTTTTGTCTTCTTTGTCCTATATTGCTATCTAGCTAAGAGTAGTAAAACCGTTGACAACCAACCTCTCGGGGATCGCGATCGGTATACTTTCCCAACTTTATTTCCGTGTGCTGCTTGCTGCTGTCTTGCTTGCTAGAGCAAGTATTATTGTTTCTTTTTATCTTCTCAATTCCTCTCCCTCTTCTTTGAGATTACGAGTGTAAAGATGGCATCGTCACAGGAAAAGCCAAGGACCGCCATCGTGGTTGGTATGTATAATCCAATCCCCCCCTTTGCCCCTTTTATTTTCCCTCCATTTTCTAACGATTTACTTTCGTCTCCTAGGTGCTGGAGCTGGCGGTATTGCAATTTCTGCTCGTCTTGCCAAAGCAGGACTCAAAGTCACAGTTTTGGAAAAGAATGATTTCACCGGAGGAAGGTGCAGCATTTTCAAGAGTAAAGCCGGTTTTCGCTTCGATCAGGGGCCGTCTCTTCTTTTACTCCCAAACCTTTTTCGTGAGACTTTTGCCGATCTTGGAAGTACACTCGAAAAAGAGGGAGTAGAGCTGTTGCAATGTTTCCCCAACTACGATATCTGGTTCTCAGATGGAGCAGTCTTTCGCAGCAGCACAGACACGGTAGCCATGAAAAGGGAGATTGAAAAGTGGGAAGGTCCAGATGGATTCCAGAGATATCTCACCTGGCTTGCCGAAGCCCATGGACACTACGAGAGCAGTCTCCAACACGTCCTGCATCGCAACTTTACCAACCATATCCAGCTCGCTGAACCACGCTTTGTCATCCCGGGAGTCTCTTTGCACCCCCTCGAGAGCATCTGGAGCCGCGCGAGCAGGTATTTTTGGTCCGACCGTCTCCGACGAGTCTTTACCTTTGCAACAATGTACATGGGCATGTCCCCCTACGACGCACCCAGCACCTACAGCCTACTCCAATACACCGAACTCGCCGAAGGAATCTGGTACCCCCGCGGAGGATTCCAAACCATTCTGGCAGCCATCGAAAGGATCGGTCGAAACCTCGGCGTAACCTACCGTCTCTCCACTCCAGTTTCCAAAATCCTAACCGGCGGTCCAGACGGCAAAACAGCCATCGGAGTCCAACTCGAAAAAACCGGAGAACAGCTCTTCGCAGACCTCGTAATCGTAAACGCAGACCTAGTCTACGCCTACAATGAACTCTTCCCTCAAGAAACTGAAACCTCCTCTACTACAGTCGGCAAAGAAATCACCACTTACGCCCGCGAGCTCAAGAGCAAAGAAGCCTCTTGCTCCTCAATCTCTTTTTACTGGTCCTTCAAACAAAAGGTACCCGAGCTAGGAACCCACAACATCTTCCTCGCAGACGAATACAAGGAATCCTTTGACGCAATCTTTAAGCGTCATACCTTACCCACTGATCCCAGCTTTTACATCAACGTTCCCTCCCGCATAGACCCTTCTGCCGCGCCCTCCCCGGACACAGACGCAATCATCGCTCTGGTCCCAATCGGCCACTTGACTTCTGAAGGAACAACAGATTACTCCGCATTAATATCCCAAGCCCGCGCAGCAGTACTTTCAACCGTCCAAAAACGAATCAAATGCGCCGATCTAGCCCCTTTAATCATCGAAGAAACCATCAACGCGCCTCCAGACTGGCAGAGGAAATTCAACTTGGACAGAGGCGCAATCTTGGGTTTATCTCATTCATTTTTTAATGTACTTTCCTTTCGGCCTAGAACGAGGGCAAAGGGGTTGAAAAATGTTTATTTTGTCGGTGCATCTACTCATCCGGGGACGGGGGTTCCTATCGTTTTGGCAGGTGCAAAAATCACTGCTGAGCAGATTTTGGAAGACAAAAAAATGGAGGTTCCTTGGGAGCTAAATAAGTTTTGGAACGGACAAGAAAAGGCTAGGGAGAAGAGTGCAGAGTTTCGACGAGGAAAAGGAAAATTGGATGTGTTGAGGAAACCGATTTGGGTTGATGATTGGAATTTGTTTTTGGGACTTATTATTGCTGTTTTGAGCTTGTCGGTTGGTTATTATTCGGGATTTTTGGGAGGGTATACTACTGGTATGAAGTTTGTCGGTGATTGGTGAGGAGAGTACGGATTATTATTATTTTCTTTTGTAATTGCATAGGTATTTTTCATTTAAATCTCAATAATCGATATATATAGAACTGAGCTTCACTGTCAACACAGTAAAGAAAAGAAAAAGAATTGTATAAACTCTTCCCCAATGGCGCTTATTCTCAAAGCACACACAATACATGCATGCAATGTTCTCTTTACATGTCAGAAAGTAGGCAAGGCTAGACTGACAGAACTGTACATCTTCCTCATAATAGCAACAATGGATCATGAAAACCAACAACAAAAAAAAAATTACAGCAACAAGCTTGCTTTGTTCCTTTTTTTACCAAACTCAATCATCCTCATCAAAAATCTGATACGTATTTTGCAAAATCGTATCCACGACACGAACCTGCCATCCAGCATCCGCAATGCTCGACCCAGGTATCGTACCCATCAACGTCGGACCAAAAACAATCGCCAAATTCTGCGAGCTCATCCTGTTTGCCCCCGAGTTTTCAATCACCCGATGAAGATGCAGAGTGAGTGCTCGCAGAGTTGCGTAGTTAGGGTCCGGAAGACTATTGATGATTGCGTGGAGAGAATCCCTCCTTACAATATCATCCTCATTTTCTACACACACCCACATTATTCACATGTCAGTCATCAAATCCGATCCAAAAAATCCAAAAAAAAAAAAAAAAGAATAGTAAATATAAACTTACTAGCTGCCTCCACAAAGGCCGTATAATGTTCCCTTGTCAACAATGGGTCAGGAAGATCCCTAAAGAACTGCTTTAAAAGACCGGCGACACTATTTACGTCATGAAAAAAGTTTTCTGGGTTCCTAAAATCAAGGTTGCTCGAGGTAGAATCTGTATATTAAAAATACTGTTTAGCGCATTTTCGAATAGACATGGAAAAAAAAATGACAAAACTTACCCGTATCAAACAACATCTTGAGCTTGTTTACGTGAGGCACAGAGCCTGAAAGCCGATAGATGCCCTCAACATTCAATCCAAAAAGATCGACAGCTTGAATACATTGATAAACGACCATAGGAACGGCCAGACCGTCTCGTTCATACAGCTTGGACAGAGCGACGCCGAATACTGGGCGGGTTGAAGCCATTTGGCCCGCAACTGGCGGTGAATATCTGTGGGACTGTGGAGGAGCCATTGCAGGGTGTTGTTGTTGTTGTTGATGTGGGTTTGCAGCTGAACCGGCTTGAGAAGAAGGCAGCAGCTGTTGAGAGTATGAGGGCTGCTGCTGAGACTGTTGCGGCTGTGAAGATTGAAAGGGTAAAGCTCCAAGTTGTGGAGGACCTTGAGAAGCGGACGAGGTATAAGGGCTGTTATATCTGGATTGTTGTTGTTGCTGAGGAGGAGTTGATCCTCGTCCTCCAAGCTGACCCACAATACCACCACCAGGGCCAGGGGTACCCTGGCTGAAGCTCCGCTCGTGCTGCTGCGGCTGGGATGATGGTCGTTGGGCGTTGGACAAGATTGGGACGGCACTCATGCTTTGGTTATAGCTGTGTCCAAAAGTCCCGCTTTGGTTTTGATTCGGCGTCTCAGAGAATGTGTTTGATCTAGAATTTTGAAACATTCCAGGCTGAGGGAGTGGAGGTTGTTGAGCCGAGGTTGCTGCTACTGACGGCTGTTGGCTGTAAGTGGTTGTCGATGAGCGATGTGATGGGTCTATAAGCTAAAAAACAAACAAGTGTTAGTCTCTGAGACATGAGAATGAAGAACATGTCAAACTCACAGGATTGCGCTCGTATTTGGGGGGTGATGTCTTGGGCGGCATTCTGGAATGTTGGCTGGCCACGTAGTCGCTGAAATCCTTCTCGTTCTCAATGGCGAGAATGCATTCCCGAAGGCTGCGCGACGAGTCTGTCCCATTCTTCAAGGGGCTGATGGTCAGGCCGTTGCTCAACACCAACTTTTCGTTAAATGAAGCAAACTTTTGCATCTGCAAGACCAGTCCCGAATCACACTCCTTTACGATATCTTGCAAGGCCTTTACCGTCTCCGGCCTAGTCTTGGTCAGGAGTTCGCTCCGCTCTGTGGACGCCGTCTGCACTTTGCTCTGGTAGTCCTGATCCGCAGTCTGAGCTTTTCGCAAAAGATCCTCCTCATGCTGTGGTCCTGATTTGTGGCCCTTGAAGCC